ATATTTTTATAAATATATAAAATTAACATAAAAATATATAATTATCATAAAAATTTATATAATTCATCATAAAATAATTTTATTTTATAAATTTTATTATTTCCTGATATGAAGATTAATTAAATAAAAAAATCATTTATTTAAGAAAATTATCATATATATTATATTAATAAATATCATATATATTATATTAATAAAGATATTAAAATAAAAACATTATGATATTTAATTTAATAAAATTAATAATAATAACATAAATTTAATTGAATGCATATTAAATCATTAAAGTATGAAAGTTGCATTTTAAAAATAAATTTGTTTCTTTTAATACTATAATTAAAAATTCTAAAAATAGTACAATAAAGGAAAAAAATACATATAATAGAATATTTAAAATAGTGAATTAAATTGAAAGTATTGGAAAGAATACATCTAAAAATTTATAATATTTATAAAATTATAAATAATTAATTTAATATTAATTCTTCAAAATAAAAAAATAAGATTAAGAAATTGAAGAACTATAAGATATAAATAATTAATCAATAATATTTTGTCAAATCTGCGATAGAATGGAACACAATGAAGACACTTTATTTTTTCTAGATAATAAATTCTTTGATAACAACAAAATTTATAAAAAAAACAATTGTTATGAAACTGTGCGAAAAAGTGCAATGAGGAAAAAAAACATTTGAAAACGAGATGTTTCATCGTAATAAAAGGGTGTCCACCCCCACTCTCCATAACCATAAATTGATAGGAATGTTGGCTGCAATACGAGTAACTGTCTGATGTCATGCTATCCGTTTAATTGACTGAAATAGGCAACAGAAATCCACTTATACATTGTTGTATACAAAAGAGACAAAAAATGAAAGTAGAAACGAAGACAAAGAAAAAAAAACGAAATATAATTTCAACAAATGTGCAGAACATAAATATAAAAGAATTTTAGCAAATATGACCCACCCAATTTGATTGATAAAGTATACGAAAAGTAAGAAATACACAATTATGTTTGAAGAATATGACGAGCCTCTCTCCCAAGAAAACTGGAACGGGTCACTGGGAAAAAAAATTCACTATCGATCCGCAAAACATAGCTACTATATATCGTGCAATATTTCCAATTCCCTAGAATCAAAAAAATTGTTTCTTACCTGTCGGATGCCATCCCAGAAAATTAATCCACGGTTTAGAACACAAAAACACTTCACGTCACTTCGTGAATAATTTGTGACACTTCATGAACACGACAGTGACACTTTAATGTTGCAATGTCCCATTTCCACGAGCATACGCGACGCAGCCCCTTCACGGCTGCCCATCAGCGGCCATCTTTTTTTCTCCTATTCGTTTTAGCGTCCTACCACTATAGTAAACGAAAACTTACTTTAATCTAGATTTAATGTATTCATATATTCATGTACAAGTCTTATTTAGTGCTCCCTTCTTGGTGAGTACTTACCACACAAATTCATTATTCTATTTTATTAACCAATGATATATTAATATATTATAAATCATCTTTCTTCTATTCTTTTTGAACTTAAGACTGAAACAAATATTGATTGATTATTTGAATGGTTTACATCATGCAAGAAGTATCATTATAAGTACTGTTTATACGAGTCGACTGTTTGATAGTTGACATCTTTGATAAAATTTATCTCTTATCGCATTTTTGAGGTTAGGAATCACCATATATAAAATTATATATTTTAAAATTTCGAAAAAATTTCTATATGATTTTTTTAAATATTGAATTTGTTTCTAATTTGTTATGTTATTTTATTAATTAAATAATAATATATTTCACGCAAATTTTTTATGTAATTAAGTTGATATCTATATTAAATATTTTTATGCATATATTTTAGATATTAAATGCATTTTTTTATTTTAATTTCGATAACAAATATTATTTGTATTTAGTTTATATTTTTTTTTTGAAATTTTTATTTCATTTTCATTTTTAAATTCACAATGAAATTCCTTAAATTTAAAAAAAATATTTAACTTTAGCACGAACATTTTTTATATCTCAGATTGACGACATCTGCATTATTTTATAATAACTATCGTAATTTTAATGTTACTTTTGTCATTATCTAAGACAATTACAATAACTATGTATTGTAATTTTTAATTCATATATTACAAAAAAAGAATAATATGATTCGTTAACTTCGAATGACGTATTTTTACGGTAGGAATTAATTAAAGGTTTATATCATATTTAAATATATCAATAATATTATTATTAAATGTCATATATATTATCATTTTATTATATATAAAGAATATATTCTTTTTTTGATTTATAAACAAAATTTTTTTAAATTATTTAAAATTATTTATTTTTGTTTCGAATTATTTAATATTTCTAATATAATTAACCTCAAATGCAATATGTCATTGTATGAATATACAATTAATTGCTTAATTAAATAAATTATTTTATTTTCTTTTTTATATGAAAAATGATTAACAATTTTCAAATCATTTAAAAATTTTAAAATATATTTCTCTTTTATTATTAAAACGATTTTTACAACGATTTTTAATTTTAATTTTTATTGCATGTAATTATAAAAAAAACTTAATTAAAATCTAAAATAGTTTTTACAAAAATTTATTTTTAATTATTGAAATATATTAATATATTTTAAATTATTTAAAAATTATAATAAAATTCCATTGAAATATATTTATCTTTTAATAGTGTCAACATTATAAGTAAATAAATAAAATATATATATATATATATTGAGTGATATAATATATAATATATAATAATGGTTCTGGATCAAGACGTATTAACAGTGTTAAAATTATTAATGATAGGAGAATCTAATGTTGGAAAATCAAGGTAATTATCAGAAAAAATTAATTATTTAATTGCTTTAATATAATAAATTATTATATTTAACAATTTAATAAATTGAATAAATATAATTATTGTTAACAGCATAATTCTTAGATTTACGGAGGATGAATTTCATGAAAATATGCAAAGCACAGTTGGAATGGATTATAGGACTAAACAAGTTACAATTGATGGCAATACAGTAAAACTTGCAATTTGGGTCAGAATTATTTATTGTAAAAATATATTATAAAAATATATTTGTATAAATATAATATATTAAAAAATTATTATAGGATACTGCAGGACAAGAACGTTTTCGTACTTTAACACCTAGTTATTACAGAGATGGCCAGGGTGCCATATTAGTGTATGATGTTACAGATAGAGTTACTTTTATGAAATTAGAAACATGGCTTAATGAGTTGAATACATATTGTAATAAAACAGATATTATTAAAATGGTAGTAGGTAATAAGATAGATTTACCAAACAGGGAAGTAAGCACTGAAGAAGGTCTACAATTTGCTAGAAGACATCAAACTCTATACATTGAAAGTAGTGCTAAAACAGCAGATGGAATCAAATGTTGTTTTGAAGAACTTGTACAAAAGGTATAAAAAGATATAATTTTCTTTAAAATTATTTAAAATATTATAAATTAATATTATTTATTAGATAATACAAACACCTGGTCTTTGGGATCGACATACTCTTCTTAAATCATATGGTAATGGTAATATAGGAAGTACAAGACATAGAGGTCAAAGAGGCATACAATTAGCAGATGATTCTCAACCACATGAACCATATTCAAATTGTTATTGTACTTTGATTTAATTGATTGTAATATAAAATTTTATCAGTGATTATTGTAAAGAAACCATAGCTTGAATATGGTCTATTCAAAAACTAAACATTAAACTGTGTGAATTTTGAAGACAAACGAAAAATAATTCAGCACATTATTACTTTGTATATGTTATTAAAAGAAATGTTTATGTTATCAAAGATACATACATAAATATTAAATTTATGCATTAATAATATCGAAATTTTTGACATTTGCAAATTGGAGATTTTTTCTATATTTATTAGTAACTTTATTCAACAATGTACATTTTTTCTATATTTTTAATTTTTTTTTATATTTTTCTAATAGCTAATTTCTTTCTTTCTTTTTTTCTTTCAGAATTTCACATATTATGCAAAGAATTATTCAAAAGAAATTGAGAAAACTGATATTATTAATGCATTAACTAATACATACGTACATATACTATTTATTTCTAATTTTTAATTCTTTAATAAATAGTCAAGTTTTATAGATATTTGTAATACAAAATTAATATTGTTGTGTAGCAACAATAATATTCATGTAAATATATTATGTATTTATTTAATTTAATAACCAATAAATATTAATAGAATAATAATAATGTCAAATTATAAACAAATATATTTTTAATTCCCAGGAAATATAATACTTTGTTGAATATATTTTAATATTTACAATTTCAATATTTGTATTGTTATGTATTTAATTATTAATTATTGCTACTTTTTTATTGATATATTATAAATATTAATGTTTAGAAGCACATAAATAAATTAAAAGATATTTTATTACATATATATATATATATATATAAATCTAATATATTATTTATATTAAATAAGTTTATTTAATTTTATTATTATATTCTTTTATTTTTAAAAATTATTTTATTTGTAAAAAAAATATATATTTTACATTTAAATTGTAATAAAATAATATATTATTTTGTGTAATGGAAACAATTGCCTATTGAAATAAAATATTAATTTTAACACTATTTTACATATGTCATTTTGAAAATTAATTTAATAATTTAATTTGTATATCATTAAATGAAGCAATTATGTTAAATAATCAAAATTATACAAATAATGAAGAAATTATAAAATACTTAGATAAAAAGTATAAGTAGTTATAATATTGAATTTATACTAAATAATTTTATTAAATTTTATATTATAAGGTATTCAAAATTAATTTGCTATTTATAGTGAAATCTCTTCTGAATCATATTCATCATCATTATCAAATAAAATATTACATACAACTAAATTAGATGTTGTTCTAACTAATAAAGGACTTCAAATTTATGGAACATGGAGTACAGAGAAATTATTAAAATTATTAACAAACAGACTTAAGCAATGTATCAATATGCAATCAAATGAATTAAAACCAATTTCTAGTGGTATAAATGATACACGATTATGGATTGCTATTCATAGTGGCTTATATAGTAATTCTGTTCTAAAAGAATTAATACAAAAAGGTGTCTCTATATATAAAAGTATCCATAATAAAAATACATAAAAAATAAAATAATTAAAACAAAAATTAAGTAATTTAACTTATTTTTTTAGGAATGTCTATATATAATATCATAAAAGCAATGAAACTTGGACTTATAAGTCTTAGTTATTGTGAACTTTTCTATTTTAAAAAATTCAATATAGAACCATATAATTTAGAATTTAAAGAATCTTGGAATAAATTTAGTGATGAATTAATTTTAAATTTAGTATGTACAGGATTGAGTGAAATGAATTGTTGGAATATTATTATATATGGAATAATGCTTCAAAGTCCAAATATTCTTCGTCATTTAATTTTAAGTGGTATTGATGTTCCTGGTATTTTAAACTGGCAATCTCCTATTAATTTTGCATCATCTAAAATAATTTTATTCTTAAAACATATTGGAATAAATGAAAATGTTATAAAATTGGTAGAAAAATATGGAATTGATGAAGAAACTGAACAAATGTTAATTGATTTAGGACTTAATGAAATGGGAGAAAAATTGTCAGAATTGGAGGTCTAAATACAATTTAATTTATTCTAAAATAAAATTTAATTTATTCTATTATACATTATTATATTTTTTATTCTTAATAATCTCTATAGGAACTAATATGTGAATGCAGTTTAACTATATTGGAATCAAACAGTTGTTCAGAAATAATAGAAAATATTGAAACAAATAATTCAGAAAGCATTTTTAGTTCTACTAGTATACCAGATTGCTATACTATACCAGATTTTTTTCAGCAATGTATTTGTCAATGTCATTTATTATCAAAAAATAATGCAATGTTTCAATCGATTATACGAAATGACTATTTAAGGTAAATAATAATTATATTTTTAATATTAATCTTCTTTGTATTTTTTTCTAAGAATTAATTAGAATATACGATTTTGAAAATTATTATTAAAATTAAAATATCTTTCTTAAATCTTACTTTTTTTTAATTTTACAAAATGTATACAATTTTATATGTAAGAAAAAAATAAAATTATTTTTTATAATCAATAATAGAAAAACGTTTATTTTTTGGAAATATTTTTATATTTTTGAAAAAAGTAAAGTAAAATAAAAAAAACTTATATTTTATGAAACAATATGTTTTTATATTTTTTAAATAAAATTAATATAAATAACAATAATATATATAATATAATATTTATATATTTGTATATTATAATATAATATTATATATATAATATAAAATATAAAATAAATTTTAAGTCTAATCAAAGCGTAAATATACTTTTTCATTGTTCAATCATTCAGCATATGCAAGAAATTTCTTATGTATATATATATTTTTATAATAATATTTGAAATAACTCAGTGAAACATATATTTTATTCAACAAATATAAATATTCAAAAATATTTTACAAATTATTTCAATAAAATATTTTACAAAAATAAAATATATTAAAATGTATTAAAATTCTATTAAAAAGAAAAAATCGAAATATTAATTTTCGGGAACTTTGCAAAACTGATATATCTTTCATTTGAGCATTAACAAATTAAATATATAGAAATTTATTATTTAAATATAGAATAGTTTTAAACTATTTAATTATATATTTTAATCACAATTAAACTTTAATAAAATTATAGACAAAATGTCATGGTACCATTATCATGGGCAATGGCTACATCTTTAGAATACAAACCATCAAATCCAATACATTTCATGGTATATCAATTATTAAAATGGACTTATAATAATATTTCTGAAATAAAAAAGGACAATGTTCAACAATTAATTGCGTTATCCACTATAAAAATGGATCATAAACTTATCGTCAGTATTATTTATAACGATTTTGAAAAATATTTTATCTTATTAAAAATAATTATTTCATAAAAATAATATTTAATATTTATAATATAATATAATATAATATATAGCAAATATAAAATATTAATATTTTTAAAATAGGTAAAAAAACATCTAAAAAAAAAATTAATTGAAAATGAAAAAACTATAGATAATATTCCTTGTGATTTTTGTGAAGATTATCAAAAATTGTATCGAATTAAAAAACAATATTGGAAATGTGTAAAATCATTAAAAAAAATTTTAAAGTTCTGATATTTTTATTTTTAAATTCAAAAGAAAGTTCCTATTTTTCTAAATTCAAAAATTCAAAAGAAAAATTCTTGTAAAATCAATATATCAAACAAAAAGAATAAAATTTAATTTTTTTATTTGGAATAACTTTGGAATAAAAATAATCAACATCTAACAGAAACTTATAAAAGATAGATATTTAAAAGACTCTTTAATAAAATTACTTAAAAAACTCGTTTATTTTGTAATTTGTCTTGTACAATTTTTTTCATGTTTATTAATATAATGCAATGTCATTGCATAAACATATTACATGAAACAGAATGGAATGAATAAGTATTCAATTCATTTCATCACAATACAAAAGATTTCAAATACATTGTGGCAGTGGCTCTACTTACAGTCTTTTTTAAACATATGACATATTAAAATTGTATGAATTTTTGTATTACATTTTTAGCAATTCTAAAATAAAATTATATATAAAATTTCGATTATATTCACTACTGAGACCTAGATAATCTTAATTATAATACGTATACGTGAGTTTTCATAACATATCGTTCAAATTCATTATAAGATCTTCATTATCCTATATAATACAGTAATTAACAATATATTTTTTCTTACTGAAACTTTCTTTGTTGAGTGTAATTGTAAAACAATTTGTAATTAAAATGTATGATAAATAATGTTGTGTATGTGTATCTGTGTTATTTTTAAGGAAGCATTATTCTTTTCATAATTACTAAAAAAGATTTTGTGATTATGAATAAAAGTAAATGAATTTATAAAAACATTCTTTGTATGTTTATTATAAAAACAGTCATTTAGAGTATAAAATCTTTTCTCAACATAGTTTAGCATTTAAAATATCCCTGTACATAAAAATGTTTTCTGCAGATTTAATGATTCAGGTACTACTGTAATGAATCAATGATAAGCTATTTGCATTGCAATAGATTAAAATGAATAATAAACATAAAGGCAGTATTTGTTAAATTCTGTAAAATTTTTTTAATTTTTTACATTTCTTTATGTGCATGAACTATTTTCATTCTTATTAAAAACAGGAGGAAAAGGAAGAGAAAGGAAGAAAGGAAAAAAGAGAAAAGGGGAGAATGAAAGGGGAAGAGAGAGAGAGAGAGAATGTGTATGTGCGCATGCGCGCACGCGTATCTTGAATAAAATAGCAAAGTATCAAAATATATTTTTGTATCTATGATACGTTTGGTCTATATCCTGAGCTACTAACAGAATGGGATTCTCTATAGTAAATTCTTCTTCGTACATTAAATAAAAATGGAAATTTTAAAAGTAGAGAATAACAGTTAAGTCTATATTTTGTATGGACGTTTTTTGCAGTCTATTAATATAATTGTTCACAGATCTTTCAATCTTTTCTTTAAGTTATTAAATCGATTTACTTAATTAAAATAATATATTTTGGTTCTAATTTGTTTTTTCTTTCTTTTTTGCTTAAAAAATGTAATCTTATTTGTATTAATAGAAAAATTTTCAAATACGTTGACGTGATAATGTGAATAGAATTTGCTTCAAATAATTGTATTACAAATTATGCGATTTAAATCGAATATACTTGAAGTTTGTTAATTTTAGCTTTCTCTTCTTCGGATTCATCTCGACAAATCATAAGTGTATGAGAGAGACCACAGGTAACAGCAGTAATGTACAAACCTTCTAGCGCTTTCACTTCCATCGGAGTAGTTGAAGATTTACGCATTTCACCGAAACCCTGTAATTATTAATCGAAGAAGAGGAATTTAGTTTAGAAGTCTGCAAAAGTCTGTTAAAGGATTTATTCATTATACAATTATTTACCAATTCACCGAAAGTAGGACTAGCACCCCAAGCAATAACTGAATCATCTGCTGCAACTACTACACTAGTTTGAGAACATCCAACACATCTAATTTCCCAGCCAGATAAATCTTGAATTGGTTTGGGATACATATTCGCTTCTCCAGTACGTTTTGTTTGTCCAAACATTAAAGCTGATCCATGTACATTAATAGCAATACTATAAGTACTGCCACAATATACAGCTCTCACACCACGTGAAGGAGGTTCCAAAAATTTAATTAAGCGAGGCACTAATTCATCTCGTTGTTCATTATGACCTAAACGACCAATACCTCCAAAACCCCAGGAAAAAGCACGATTTTTACTATCAATTGCAACTGTATGATAGTGACCACAACTGAAGTCTGTGATCTCAACACGATCTAAAGGTGTAACATGGCCATCTTTCGCTCTTTCAATATATAAGACGATCCTTTTAGGCACTTTTTCAAAATGAAATGCCATTTTTGTATTTGTTATGAAATATTTTCCATCTGTGTTATGACCCAATGCTCCATATTCGGGACTTCCAAATGAGTGCAGACCACCTTTAATGTCTAAAATCATTGAAAATTCTGCACCACACCCTACTTTTACTATTGGTGGACCAGAATATTTTACTTTAGTGGCAGAAATAATGCAGGCGTCAGATTTTCCAACACCACATTGACCTAATTTATTATCTCCAGCAGCAAATACAATGCCACGACTTGTTAAAAATAAAGTATGATTACGACCACAAGATGCTCCTATGACAGTATGACCTTTTAATACTGTAACTTCTGTAGGCTCATCTCGACGTTTTGTATCACCAATACCTAATTGACCTACAAAAATTATTTCATTAAAGTTTATGAACAATTTATTATAAAAAATGTAAATATATATAAATAAAAAAATATATTTTTATCATGTTGAAATTAAAATTTGTTAATTCAACAAACACTACTTACTAACAAAAATTATTTCTTAATATATAATTTAAATTTTTAATTCACATTTACTTACAGAATAATAATTAATTATAAGAAAAGGTTTGTTTATCTTTCATTCATTTACCTTTATCATTTCTACCAAAAGCTAAACATCGATTATCTTCAGTAACAATAATACTGTGAGAAGCAGCTGGACCAGAAGCAACTAATCTGACTCTTGAACCATTCAAATTTTTGAAAGTATGTGGTGTCCATAAACTGCGGCCTACATTAGCTTTCACACCTTTTGGTGGAGCTTTACGGCCTGCCATATCCCAATTTGTAAGACCACACATTAGTAATGTTCCAGGCTTACCCCATCCTCCCTGTAATAATCATATATAAAAAAATAAATTCATTGAATATAAAGTATAAAAATTATATAAAAAGTTAACATAATAAATCCAAATTATATTCTAAATCTTTTTTAGATTCTTGTCATCAAAATTTTTATTATGATAATTAACATCTAATTTAGCTTGAATATATTTATTTTATATTTTTCATCTATTTTTTTTTATAAAAATAATAATTATAAAAATAAATACTAATAAAAGCATAAAAAAATGACTTTGAATAATATATATTTGAATAATAAAAGATATATATATGAATAATAACAAGATATATAATTAATAATCAATAAGAGTAATATTTAATCTATTGTGTTTAATTTTCTTATTATCATATTATTATATAATTTTGATTTGATAATTAATATTATATGTATTTAATTTATCAAAAATAAATAATCAAATTCAAATTTTTTCTGAGTATCTTCTATCTTTACATATTACATATTACATATTACATATTACATATTACATATTACATATTACATATTAAAATTCAAGTAAAAATTTTTTTATAAACTAGATTTGATATTATATTTGGCTTTTATATTTTTTTAAAACTAATTTTTTAATATTATAAATAATTAATCAAATATTTACAAAGAATATAAAAAAGAATGTAAATAAGGATGTAAAAAATATATAATATATAATAAAAAATAATTTTTGAATCTTAATCACAAATTAATAAACTTAATAAACAATAAATTTTTATCTGAATTCCATTATTTTATCTAATTTTTATATCTTTAATTAAATCACAATCTAATTTATAAAAAATTTTACTAATGTTATATGCACAAACTTTGTAATAATATTTTGTAATTATATAAATATGATATCAGATAAACAAAATGAATTTTTTTATCAGTTCAAAAAACGCATAGCTTTGAGATCTATCAATATTATAATACTAATATCTTTTTCCATTTTTTTAGATTTAAATTTTCTGTTTACTTAGAATAACATATGATAAAGATAAAAATAATTTCACCTCAGGTGGCGGTAATTCCGGGATACTAGAGACATCGGTAAGATCATCTTCGACAGCATCTTCACCATCGACATTCGAGCCGGTTTCGGCGTCATCAACGTCTGAATCATGTTCGCTAGAGATGTCCTCTTCGTCATATTCAACTTTTCTTGATTTCGCGCGTCCTTTTTTGGTTGTTGGATTTTTACGTTTAGTCGACATATTGACTGATTTTTTTATTTCGAATTTAGCTATTGCTGAGAAAATTAGGAATGCAAATACAATATTAATCAATGTAATGGCGCTGAGACTTGTACTGTTCGACAGACGGACAACAAAAATGCGGCCACCTGGCGCTCAAAAATCATAATAAAACCATGCTCCAGTGATAAGTACAAAGCAAATTTAAGTTTATGATTGTAAATAGTTGAAAGTACATTCCATGTTCCGCATATTTCGAAATGGTGAAACGGGGAACGAAATGATTGATTTCAAGTCATACCAAAATTTAATTTTAATTATAAAATCAAAATTGTATTTAATAAATTTCTTTATTATATAATAATGAATTCTAAGTATCATGTAAAATTTATCCATTATAATATATATATTTTTTATGTTTAAGTATTCTAAGTATATAAAAATTTATATTTGAATTAACGAAATAAATAATTATATAAGAAATAAAGTAAAAAAAAAAAAATAATTTTAATATTAATTTAAATTATTTTATATTTTTAATTATAGTCAAACTTCTTTATGAATTACCATATTTAATTTCTAAAGTCAAGATATCATATTTAATTTCTTTGTTCAAAAAACTATCATACTTAATTCATG